CCGCACCCACACCCACACCCACACACTTACACGCACGCACACGCCATCCTGATTTAGACGCAGTGCAGCCACCGTGTCAGGTCGATCTTGATATGCCTCCTCGTCTGCTGCCTTGGGGGAACATTCCTACTGGAGCAGCCGGGGTCCAGCTTGATGCGTTATTACTTTCGCTGGGTGTGGCTTCGACAAAAGATTCCTGTGGCTCGTATACGATGTATGCGGTGTGGACTTTAGATGTTTTGTCCGGCTGGCTACTCAATTCCTGCAAGACTGTAAGGTGTTTCGTGTCGCATGGTGGATGAAGATGTACGGGGCACCTACCGCCAAACGACACCAGGCGTTCACAAACAACCCTTATGCCGAAGAGTACAACCTGGGGAAACTAAAGCCAAGCCGCTACAAGTCGAATGTGAAGACAGTCCGCAGATGGGTGGACAAAGCTGGGAAGAAGAGATGGGCCGGTACGAGCGAACTCAAAAAGTCGCAGTCAACAGCTTAGATCGTTCGCGGGTGTTGTTGCTGAGCACGTTATAGATGTCGTGCACACCTGTTTCTTTTTGGTGGTTTGAGAGTATGAACATTGGCACTCAGGGTCTACCCAGTTGGCTTTGGTCTTCAAACATTGCGTATGATGCCACGCTTGATGACCAGGGGGCGAGGCAAGCCGCTGGCACATCTCCGGCCAGATTCGAAGGTTGCGGGGCCTCATTTGTTCCACAACACAGGCTGGTCCGACTGGGAGGAAGCGAGGTTGCTACCAGCTTTAATTTACCTACGGGGCAACAAGTCTTTGGATTTGCCAACAGAGTGGAGAGCGGTCTTTCCTACGTCTTTGTAGGCTCCTGTCCTTCTGTTTCTGTGTCCCACTGTGCCTCTATATAGCTTACTCCCAACCACCATTCTAAGGTCCTGGTCCAGCTCCAATACAGGCATACCCTGATGAATGCCCGACACAATTACTTTAGCTAGTTAGGCTCCTACGTGCGTGTTGGCCCCGGCCCGAATCCCATACTGCACTTGTGGCCACGTCAAGAGGCATTGGTGACGCAGAAAGTCAATCAGTAGCGTGGGGTGAATCTATATAGATTCCCCGGTGTCCTTGCAAGGTCCTGTCTGGAGCATCAGCCGTCATGTCGCATATGTTCTCTCGCGTGCTAGTTAATGTAGATGTCTTTAAACGTTTCAGTTCATCAATCCTTTGGGATCCTGAGGGCCTGTACAAGTATGCGGTACATACTCTATCGAGTATAGATCCTGTCTGTTGCAAGCGCACAACACCACTGTGCACGTGGCATTGGATGGCTACAGTGTGCAATTTGCACTTGATAGCAGCTGTGTGTAGAGGAAGCTATATCATCCCGGAATCATCCCTAAAGAAACCTTCAGTATATGTACGCATACAGATAGATATCTAGATTAGTTAGATAGACAGACAGACGGATGGATAGATAGATGAACTTAGCATCCTATCATGTCATACCACACAGTAGCATATCATATCATAGCAAAACATACCATGTAATGACACATCATCACATCATATCGTATCAGGTCCTATCAAGTCATATTATATCATACCAT